CGCTGGGATCAATATGAGAAAGTTCCAGGATTGCCGAAATCCTCCCATAGTTCCGCGGAACTGTCGACGTGCCCTTCCTCTTTCCAAACCCCGTGGGCCGTTTTTCCTCGAGTTTCTCTGTTTCGATTGTGTGCGTCCGCGTTCGGTGAAAAGGGCACGAAGGTAAAGAGCATCGTACACGAGCAGAAATTCTAAAAAGGAACCAGCCCCGCCAGTTTCAAGACTCGATTCCGGTGAATTACTACCTACGAGGGGAGAACACGATGGAAAGGTAGAAGCGGAAAAGATTTCTAGCCTGATCTTGATGGGAAATCGTGGAACAATGATTTAGACGTCGACTCGCACGGTGCTAGTAACCGTGATTCAAGTTTTTTTTTTCTTTTCAGTGGATATTCAAAACCGCTGCTACCGCTATAATGAGATTATTAATTTGATGATGAAACCGTGGAGCTATTTTATAATTATCCACCTGTTTCACAGCCACTTTCACTCTCTGAGCTTTAATCTCTATCCAGCGATTGAAGATAAATCACAATCCGAGTTCCATTCCCTCCGCTCGAAGCGCGATTCCCTCTCGCGTCTACCGCCACCGAATTTCTCATCTCGCGCCTCGAGTCCTCGTCAACGAACTGACGTCCGACAAGATTTATCTGACATTAATCGTCTTTCTTCTGCCAAGTTATTACCTAGAAACCATTCGGCATCGACAGGTTTACGTGTCATTAAAGTTATTTATCTCTTTATCGTAGTAATTTTCTATTTGCGCATCAATTCGACATATCGAATTGCTAAAAAATAGAATACCATTTTGCACCCAATTGGTTTTCTTCGAATCGTACCCTTAACGTCCACATCATAATTAACAATTAATTTCTGTAAACGAATCTCACTTGGAATTCGTAGACGGTTAGAGAGATGAACGTTAATTCCCAGTTATACTGTCGTAAGCGTCGACTAGAAATTCCAGCACGGAAATTAGGCTGAACCGTATACGGTTCGAACCTGCACGCTTTTCCTAGATTAAACGACCCGCTTCGTGTCTCGTCCACCATGTTCGTTTGCCTGTGAAATCGAACGAATCAGAGCGACATCGTTCACGCTTTGCGAGATAACCTGGAAGAGGCTCGGAGCATCGGCGCGACGGGAACATTTTTCACTCGAGTCGTTCGGAATTTTTCCTGTTGCGAGAAAGCGGAGTGAAAAGCGGGCCGATTATGTATTTCGAGAACGACACTCGGCCATCGCGATAGCTGCCGATATTCAGGACAAAGATAAACCCGCGTGTTTTACCACGTGTAAATTATGGACGCGCTTCGGACAGGATGCCGCTGATAGCGATTTAGGAGCTGTGTAACATCGGCAATACTTCGAACGTATGTACGTACTTATACTATTTATGATATTCCATCGATTCGATGGCAAAGTATTCAATAGAAAATATGATAGACGTTTGGTATCTCGAGTATTCGACATATCGGGCATGCATTTGGTATCTTAGACATAACCGTTTTACATATCGGTACCAATATTTCATTTATAATTCATATTCTACTTCATATTTTCTATTGCATTTTATATATGTATTGTAGTGAGTAGAATTTTCTTTGTACATCATTGAGGTTCACAATTTATCGGTATCGTCAACGAAATGCGATACTCCGATACCGAGCCTCCCATCCATACCATATGATGGATTATGGATAGAATCGTAGGGAGTGGGATTGCTTGGGGTACTCGACGTGACAAATTGGGTGCGATGCGCCTTCGAATCGATATGTGCGGGTGACAAATTCGGGATAGACCACTGTCGTATTATAGAGATGTAAGATGAAGATGTCACAAAATCCCTCAGGGAATGCAGACACATTAATATGCTTTTTTGAATTACTTCTGGTTAGAAAATCTTCAGTAGTATCCATTTGATTTTTTCGTATCCCTCATAGGGTAGGATTTTCGTACGAATTTTCCTTGCATGAAATTGAAATAACGGGAAGTGACGTGTGAAAAATGGGTAGTACGAAAAATCGTTTTCAAATAAAAACACATTTCCCACTGGTCATAGCCAATATCTATCCTTTCACCGATTCGACGCCAAGTTATTTGAACGAGGCAATCAATTCCGCGATATTTCATCCGACGGGCAATCGCGAGTCGCGTCCGTTTCGTGATTGTCCGTCACGGAACGATCGAACGGAAAAATCGGTGTCGGGAATCTTTTAGAAAGGTTCGACGCTTTGAGTTTCGAAAGGACTACGGCAAAAAGAAACTTGCCGGAGCAGACGGGGGTGGAGGAAGGAGAGAAAAAAGGTGGAATTCGTGGCTCGTGTGCGATAAAATCCGAGCGGGATGGATTCACTGCGCGGCGCGTCAATTGCGAGCGTAGGAGAGCCGCGCGAAAGGTAAAAGTCGTGACTCGCGATCTCGGCTCGAACGCGGCAACCGCGATCGATCTCTACGAGGCCCGTTTCGTTGGGAATTTTCAATAAGGATCCACCGGTGTTAATAAACAGCCGATAGGCGCGGGACAACGGAACGCGGCAAACGAACCCCGTGATTTCGCGGATCCCGCGAAACGGGAAACGCGACGCGAATCGATTGAAAATTGTGTAATTTCGAGTCGATTCGATCGGCGAACGTCCCCGGGCGACGCGGCACGCCTTCACCACGGCTTCCTGCAATCTTCTATCCAACAAAACGAACGGTTTTGTTGGGAAACGCTATTGGAAAACGCTGGTTGGAAATTTGTTGCCATAAGAATAAAACGTGCCGCTCGCGTCTTCTTTCATGTGAGAAGTTGCCACGTTCTCACGTTATTGATGTTCCAGCTTTTTGAAAAATTGCGTCGGACACTGGCATTAGGCGCATACTAGATGAGATATAAAAATGATGCTTGTAGCACATTTGCATAGTAGCCTCATAAAGTCAGATATATCAAACATGAAGCTGTCCATTCTTAACCCACATTCAATTTTTAATGTGCAAACTATTCAATTGTTAAATAAAATCCGAAGTGCTAAGCGTGCTTATTATAGGTTTGATTGTAAGTGTAACCGGGTGACCGTTATTGTTCCGTAAGTCAGAGGATTGACGACGTTCACGACACGACGTCGATAGATCTCTACCGAAAGAAAGAAAAACTGGCTCTCCTTGTCCTGGCGCGGCCAATTACTCTAGATTCTTTACTTTCGCGAGGAGCCTCGGGTGGTGAATAGCGCGTGCACGTTCGCGAGCGTGGCATAATTTCCCGCGAACCAAGAACTACTCGATTAACGAGGAATTCGAATTCATATCCGCGACACCTGCACGATTCCCAAGTGGCTAACAGGCCTGTTGCGTCGTTCCAGAAACATTGTTTAATTGAAAAACCTCCATAATTGTTACGGCTTTCGAAATTGGCACTAAAATGATTGAAGCTATTCAATGGAGCGTGAACAGAACCTTCGCAGCAGTGGTCTGAGGGGATTGAGCTCGTTTCCAATAGATACAGTCTTGGCCTTCTGTCGCAAAAGGGCTGTGCCGATGACAAAAGCCCGACCACGCTTCTGCGTGACGTAGAAATAGAACGAACGATTATGAGACGTTAGTGTGTTGGACGTTTAATAGTCACGAACTTATTCCATCCATCGTAAATCCTGAGGGTGGTTTCCACATGGAACGATTGATCTATTTGAGCAGCTGTTGATATCCGTCTGCATTTGAACAACCTTCTCTATCCTTTACGTAGCTGTATGCATCGTGTTTCATGCTTCACTCATATAAATGTACCTGAAAGATAATATGTACATGAAAAAACGATTTTTGTTTTTAATCAAGGAAGTTGACAAACAGCGAATGTGACTCTTTTTCATGTTGTTCTTTCAAATCAGATTTTCGTGAGGCTTAACAAATTTATTATTGTTCTTTCCTTAAATCACATTTTGAGACTTGTCCTTAAAATCCGACAATATTTCCCGTTGGACGTGTATGTACATACAACAAACGTCGGTACCGTGGCGCATGTAAAAGCCTTCATAGATCAAACGAATATGCTATTGTCTGTTAATAAAACTATTGTAACGTCGTTGAAACTGATTCATCGTTGACCCGGTTCACAAGCCGCCGCGCCGGGCGTAATGCAACCGACCGCTTGCTCGCGCGATCGAGCATACCGAACGCTCGCTCGAAGACGGATTCCTTCTCGACCGCGCAACTTCCAGGTCGCCTCAGCCATTTCACCGATCCCTGCCCGATATCGCCCTGGAAGCTTCGCGTCGCGTTTCTGCAATAGTTACCGCGAACGCAAACGTAACACCGTTTAAATCCAAAGCTTCCTCTGTTCTAATGTTCGTTCCACTTTTCAAACTTCATTCATAGTACAGATTCTGAAAAAGGATCAATTTTTGTGTTCTTCCTAATACTTACAATATCAGAGTTTCATTGAGTGAGTGGGTCACCAGATGAAATTCAAGTCTACTTGAATCCGCGTGGTTAACACAGGTTCAACGAGGAACGTTTTAATTTGCCTTCGTCTCTTGTTCACGTCCTCCTTCGCGAGTCCTCTTTCACTTCCACCCTCGAGAGCGATATTTAATCACGGTTACTAGGCTCAGAAAGTGCCACAAGGTCGGAGTTAGAACGAGATCCGGCCCGATCCCACGGCCTTGAATCGGTGTGGGTGCTTGTAACGAGAGTGCATTATAATAAGTCCCGTGACACAGGTCGCGAGACCCGTTTCCGCGAGCGTGCAACGAGTAGGGGAGACGATGCGGGTAATTGAAATCGTAATACACGTTGATTTCGAAACGCGATCTCGTATGTGCATGACACGATTTTCTCAATGATACTTTGAGCTTTCTTGAACGGTGACTCGCTCCATTTTACATTACAAATGAAAGTGTACTCTCTGTGAGAAAGTGTTACTTTGCTTAAGCCAATATAAGGATCCAGATTAAACTATAATATATACACGAACGATTGAACATTATCGTTGGAGAATTGTAAGTCATAATTCGTTTCTCTAGTATTCAACAATTTATTGTTAACTTCAACATAACTTAGAAGTGTCATTATTTGGCAATTTGCAATAAGAATGACTATAAATCATCATTCTCTCGCTAACCTGCTACATATCGCATCCAGAAATCTGCCCATTTACTTCATGTTATACATTTGGGATACATTTATCTTATTACTGTATAATATGAGACAGATAGCTTCACCACCTGTGAATAATAAGATGAGTTCAACAAATATTTTATGAATTTCCAATCGAGAAATTACCTCTGAGAAGCTTTCCATGTTCATATCTATTAAACCGCCGGCTGTCAAACGAGGTGGTGTTAACATTCTTCGTAATGCTAATACATACAACAACTGTGTTTTCACATTGGTATTGTACCACAATGCTTCGTATCTAACAAAATATGCGATCCTCTTTAATTTTTATGAGATCAGATTTGAGAAATCATAAAAAACTGAACTGAAAGTATTTGCTCGCTATTTCGTACTTAACACTAGATTGCCCAAGGAAGTAATTTTGACTGCTTTTGGGCAAATGTACAAATAATAATGCATAAATTATTTTTTTTCCCAAGTGAAGTAAATTTCTTTTATTGTTAACATTTACTAATAACTTGTTATATGACTGGA